GCAAGATTCTCGTGAGGCAGTGGTGAGTTGCCTATTAATGACCTTATTGACTGCAGATCTCACCTTATTAGTATGCAGCTTCCTATTGTATCACTCACACAAGTAAACTGAATGCCAACAACTCTTGACCTGTCAGTAGACACCTAGCAATTTCAGCTCACTGCTTGCTTCAAAGAACTTCCACGTTGGACACCAGGCACAGGCATCTTAGAAACTACATCATGGACACTGGCCACATGCACCCCACATCTACAGACCTTGGTATCAAACATGAGACAGCATCTAAGAACCATGATGGAATATCTACGATCAACTTACATTATACTTCTGCACTGGCAACTATCATTGTAATACTGCAGCAAGAATGCTTTATGGTGAAGGACAGACACCAAGCTCAAGAACTAGATCAGGCTGTACCTCTGAACTATTTGTTTGCCCTCTTAGAACTCATTCACTTTGATCCAAACAGGCCCAGCATCCCTCATTTTCTTGTCGTTTTGGTGTTGCCCTCAGCCAGATATACCACATTCATGGTACTGCTGTATTCAATGGCAGTTAGTGCAGGCACATAGCCAGGATGCTTCCCATGGTTGTCAGTACTCCTTATTCAAGCCACTGGTCAGGGGTCCCCAGCACAATAAGTAAAGGGACCTCTCTGATACTGGTTCAGGGATTGGGATACGGTCAGTCAACGACTCGGAGCTGTGAGATTCAGGATCGTCTCCTCACAGGGTATGGGCAACATGCCACCTGTCTTAACTCTTTCTGCCATATTGTGGGATATTTTCCTGCTAGGATCAGACAGAACCAAGAATTAAGGGATTTGACAGGCACAGCTGTTACCGACGGTGCAGGTGGAGAGATGTCCCAAGAGATAGTGAGAAGGTAATGCAGATGGCACGCAGGGTTAGTGCTGAAGTGGGTCATAGTGAGTGAGGGAATGTGTTGCAAGTAATAGTGAGAGTGGTAGCAGATGAGTCTTGTTTGGAAGTGGGTGCAGTAACATTGATAAGTGAGAGATATTGTAAAGAAGATGGGTGCATCTACACTTCAGGAGAGGACAGCACTATCCCACCTGGCAACCTCCGACCAGGCTGGCATTGATCGGTGTGGTGTCCTCCGCTGCTGGTCCTGGGCAAAGAGCATGATGTCGCCCACCACTACCTCCAGGCACCCACATGCAAAGCAATCTGCCAGTTGTTCCCTATCTGCCAAGTCTAGGGCAAATGCCAGAAACTATTCAGTACTTGTTCAGGTGCACAATGATCTTTTATAATGCCACCAATGGCAGCAAACTGACGAATATGATGGTCTTATACGATAAGAAGAACAAAAAAAAAACCCTCATGTTCCAGACATGACAATTAGTAGATTGAGGCTAGAATTAGATGTAGAGGGTGTCACAAGGGTGGAGTAGGTAGTTAATGCAGCAAAGTAATGCAGCAAGAAAACTCAGTAGGCCTCGCAAAAAGAAACCCTCTATGAAAGGCAACAGAATTGACACATGAGGAAAAAACACTCAAATTTCAATCCAATGTCTTTGGTACAATGCAATCTTCTCATTTTCAGTTCACAATGTACATCAGGTTATCAATATGCAGTTCATCGCCACTTTCACCAAAGGAATTTGGAATGGCCATTAAATACTGACTAGTCAGCAATGCCCACATCCCATGAATGAATAAACAAATAAAACAAGATTATAATGTCCAATACTTTTAACCCAATTCCTTCATTTTACATGGAAATAAGACTACTAAGGCTATAACGGTCAGTTTTTTTTTGTGATAACAAGGTGTAGAGCTGGATGAATACAGCAGGCCAAGCAGCATCAGAGGAGTAGGAAAGCTGACGTTTCGGGCCTAGACCCTTCTTCAGCGGGGAAGGGGATTCTGAAATGAATAGGGAGAGAGGGGGAGGTGGATAGAAGATGGATAAAGGAGAAGATAGGTGGAGAGGAGACAGACAGGTCAAAGAGGCGGGGGTGGAGGGGTTTTTTTTGTTCTTCTTTTTGTATAAGACCATCATATTCGTCAGTTTGCAATCTACTGGTATCTCTACAATGCCCAGTGACTTCCCTATAATGATGGCGAAGTTTCATAAATCTGCTTCCTAATCTTTCCTAGCATCCTGAAAAAACATCCCCTGTCTTAGGAACTTTTAGCCTATCTAAAACACATATCCTTGATATCAAAGTCATTGGTTCTGCTCAGGTTGGAGTTTTTATATTTTTTTTTAGGAAGTTCATGCCTTCCTTATAAATATTTAGATGCATGTATACATTCATAATATTTACTATTTTGTGTACTTCCTTAGTTTCAAGTCCAGCTCTACCTTTGGCTTCTTTGAGTGCCTTTTTACCAACTTGAACGCAAGAGATATTCGTTAAACTGGTGGTTCTGACATACTGATGATATGCTCATTCAGGTTTTACAAAGTCATAATTCATGATCTTGTCTGTCATTTTCTCAAGACGTTGTGAAATATTTCTTATTTCCTCTCCTCCCCAAAATCTTCGTCTTCAGCTAAATGCTAAATCTTAAAAACTCCCATCTTAAACACCTTGAAATGCTGGAGGTTAAGGGCAAGCTTTCAATATTCAGATTTTTTTTTTAAGAAGAGGAGCTGGTTCCACTATTGGTATATTCAACACAGATATATGTTTAAGAAAAATGGCAACAAAGGGAAACGTAAATAAAAATCGAAAGAACTGCAGATGCTGTGCTGGAAAAGCTCAGCAGGTCTGGCAGCATCAGTGAAGAGAAATTAGAGTTAACGTTTCAGGTTGACTGACCCTTCCTCAGAATGACGGTAGCTAGGAAAATGTCAGTTTATATGCAGATGAAAGGGTGGCGGGACGAGGTAAGGAGTAAACAATAGCGGGGGATAAAGCCCAAAGAGTGGTTGGACAGGCAAAGGAGCGGATAATGATCTGGCCAGAAAGGTGAATAACTATTAACAGGGACTGTTACTGACTAACATTGGGTTGTATGTGTAATAGCAGACTGTGTGATAACAAGACCTGGTGTGTGGGGTTTGGTGTAAGATGGGAGAGCTCAAGCCCTAAAGTTACTGAACTCAATATTGAGTCGGAAGGCTGCATGGTCCCCAAGCAGAAAACAAGGAGCTGTTCTTCCAGCTTGCGCTGAGCTTCGCTGGAGCACTGCAGCAAGCCTGAGACAGAGATGTTGGCCAGGGAACAGGTTGGTGTGTTGAAGTGGCAGGCAACTGGAAGCTCAGAGCCATTTTTTTGTGGTCAGAACATAGGTGTTCTGCAAAGTGGTCACTTAGTCTATGCTTCGACTCCCCAAAGCAGAGGAGACCACATTATGAGCAGCGAATGCAGTAACCTCGATTATATGAAGTGCAGGTAAACCGCTGCTTCACCCTGAAGGTGTGTTAGGGACTTTGGATACTCAAAGGGATGAAGTAAACGGACAGATGTTACATTTTGTGGTTGCAGGGGAAGGAGGCATGAGGCTGTGGGAGGGTGTTAGGAGTGAAGAAAAAGTGGACCAGGTTGTCCCGGAGGGAACGGTCCCTGCGGAAGGCTGACAAGGGAGGGGAGGGGAATTCCCTGGCCAACATCTGTTTCAGGCTTGCTATAGTGCTCCAGCGAAGCTCAGTGCAAGCTGGAAGAACAGCATCTCAGTTTCTGTTTGTGGACCCTGCAGCATTCTGGTCTCAATACTGAGTTCAATAACTTTAGGGCTTGAGCTCTCCCATATCCTTATCTCAACCACCACATACCAGGCCTTGTTATCACACAGTCTGCTGTTACACACAACCCACTGTTAGCCACTAACAGTCCCCATTGACAGCTATTCACCTGCTTAGTCAGATTGTTATCCACTTCTTCATCTATCCAACTGCTGTTTTGGGCTTTATCCCCACCTATCATTTACTCCTTAACTTCCCGCTATCCTATCTTCTGCATATAAACCGACATTTTCCTAGTACCATCAGTTCTGGGGGAGGGTCACTCGACCCAAAATGTTAACTCCACAGATGCTGCCAGACTTGCCGAGCTTTTCCAGCAATTTCTGTTTTTGTTTCTGAAAGGGAAATGTAACTTATTTTTAAATCCAGCAAGCTATACTGATCTGGAAGACACAGCTGGAAAGGGGCAGAAGCAGATTCATACATAATTTCCAAAGGTGAATTACAGATCTACAGGAAATAAAAGTGGAACGTCACTAATTGGGCAGCTTTTTGTTTTAAAAAAAGAGCACAGTGGACCAAATGGCCTCCCGTATTGTACAATGTAGGAGAAATATGACGTTACCCGCTTTGATAGGAGAAACATAAATGTGCAGTATTTCTCAGGTGGTGACAGATTGAAAGTCTTGATGTCCAAAGTCTTGATGCTAAAAGTCACTGGAAGTTAACATCCAGATGTAGCAAAAAATTAGGAAGGCAAATTGTACTTTGCTTTTATTGGAAGAGAATTTAAGTAGACAAGTAAAGAAGTCTTGCTGGAATTGTGTTGTACCTTGGTGAGATTGCACTTGGGAGTATTGTACACAGTTTTGGCCTACTTACCCAACAAAAGACATTTTGCTGGAGTTGTAATATGACATGTAATATAACTGTTACATATCACGTGCCAAATACAAAAACTCTCACGTGGTCTTTTATTGGTCTAGATGGACTGAGGCAGCATATTCATTTTGCCAACATAAGATTTTAAGCTATAGAAAGAATGGACAGCTGTTTAATTTTGTTTTGTTGGTTCATTATATATTTCATGTCCTCTATAGTGGTTCTCAAGCATTATATGGATCTGAGAACTATTTGGAAATGAGATGTGCATTGCATGATAGGATCCAAAAAAATTGGCTTAGTTCTGAGATTTAACAGAATTCGACTGACAACTGCAAACCAACAGGATCACTACTAAGTTAGACATGCTTTAAAAAGTTGCAAGTTTAATACTACAACCAATATTAGCCAGTTTGACTAAAACGTACAAAAGATGAAGTGTTTGGATATGCATTTACCTTCCGTAGTTGCACTTCTAGTTTAGAACATTCCTCCTTCTTCTGTTCAAGAGCTATCTCCAGTGCTTTCAACTTGGAATCCTTCTTCAGTCCAGATGATGCCAAAGATGAGGCATGTTCTTTGAGGTCCAGTAGCACAGCCTATAGAAGTAAATTGATTAGAGCTTTAATCCATATCTCGTTAACATAATGACTTGTAGAGTGGTATATCCACCCTGGTTCAGATTTTCCTCAACCTTTACCTCAACTTTACTTGCCATTTCTGTGTCAAATTCACAGACTCATATGTACGTTGTAACATTACATCCAAATAAATTCTCCTACATATTCTCATGGCCACTCCTTTGACCTTTGCAATGACAACAAATTCAACAGAGCATTTGATAACAGGTATTATAAATATTAACTATTATCTGGAATTATTTTGTGTGATATAGTCTTGATTTTGAGACAACAAACACTAATGATTCCAGTTTTACTGGTATATCCTGGAGAGTTAGCTACATTCCTTGTTAAGGTCATTTCATGGTATCCATTATTTGAAAAGCATCACACTCAAACAAGAACAGTTTACATTTGATAAACAACTCCCCACTTCACATCACATATTATATGAAATATGTAATTACTTACCTCCTTCTCTGAGACATCGCCTTGGAGACCACTGATCCGTTCCTTAACTTCTTTTAACTCCTCTTTGTAACTATCAATTTCTTCCTGCTTTTCTCGTTCATCTTTTTCTCTTTGATCTTTAAGCTGCTCAATTATCTTCTCCTGAAACAAAATAATAAAACTAATCAAGGATAAATTATGGAAAAATAGACTATTCTAACTTATGTTGATCAATGAGAATATTTAAAATCTGAATCAATGGGTGATAAAACTTGGTGTATCCCTGATACTTCAGACTGCTATCAAGAACAGGAAACTGGAGTTTAGGATCAAGAATTAGCTATTATGACAATCATCACAACTACGAATGGCTTTTGTTTGATGACATCTTTTCCATTTAATCTTTCCTATTCTCTTCCCTTAATCCATACCTTCTCCTTTGTTCTTCCTCCACCTCCCACTTTTGACAGCATAAAACCAACATATTTCTACCATGAGATAACAAGGTGTAGAGCTGGATGAACACAGCAGGCCAAGCAGCGTCAGTGGAGCAGGAAGGCTGACGTTTTGGGCCTAGACCCTTCTTCAGAATTTCTACCATGCTACAGTTTTGAAGTCACATTCAACTCAATACCTTAACTCTGGTTCTCTCTTTAGAGAAGTTGTCAAACTCAAGTATTTCCAACATTTACTGATTTGTCCTTTCGCATTTCTTGCCTCAATAGCGTTTTGCTTTCAATCTACATCAACATTTATTTGACGATAGCAACGTACGATTATAAATAGATACTGCATTTGATTAACTTTCACGTATTGAATCCTGTGTCACAACAGATGAGCTGTCTACACATGTAAAATGGGAGGAGTTCATTACATAACATCTGTAAATTTTCACTGTTTTACGAATACAGGAAGATGGTACCATTAGTGTTCAAGTTACTAAAGTACTGGCTACTATTGATGCTATTTGTACTAGATATTGTCTTCCAGGTATTGGAATCGGCCAAAAGATTAGTTTTAATATATCATGTTACTTATCTATGAGATTTGTGTCAGTAGTTCCAAATGGTACCACACAGTAGTATTACTACATGATGGATCCTGATTCTCCAATGATTCCTTAAGTGATACTGCTTCTTGTTCCTGGTAGGGTAACTCATGGCAGCAAAGACAGGAGAGGTACAGGCAAAATGCAGTTCAAACAAATCCTCCATAGCTGAACAGGCAAAGGAAGACTATGCATCTTATTAGTTGCAAAGATAGAAAACAATGCAGTGGCAAGGTAGCCCAAACACTGGGGATTGACAAGTCACTGAAATCTGACCAACAGCCAAAAGTCACATGAAAACATCTACCAGGGTCTATTTGCTAAGTCCTGTGGTAATAGGATGACAGGGGCAGTGCTGTGAACTTCGAGTCCCTAGCTGAAAATCTGCACAGAGGTGGCAGTTGTATGAGGTCGTTGAATACCTATGTTGGGCAAAAATCTTTTGGCAGCAGCAGCTGTAAACCAAATGGCCCTCATCAGGATATCCTCTGCTCACTTCAATAGGATGGATGAGAAAATATGCCCTGAAAGTAGGTTGTCTTACTTTCCCCAGGCTAAGGGACCACACCCCAGAGAACCACCAAATTTGTGGTTAAAAAAATTAACTTTTACAACTTAGCATGTTCAAGCACTTAATAGATTATCTCAACAATGACCATTCTGAAAGAGGAACTGTAACTGTGTCACAAACTATAAAGACGTGAAACTGACATTGCTCCCTGCAGAGAGATTTGCCTTCCTGGAGAGTGATAACTGAAGTTACATCACCTTGCTGGAAAGGCAAGGCTGATGGTGAACCTCATTTCACAAGACAACAAGAAAGAGTGGCTGGAGCTGATCACACAATCCATTGAACCTGCCTAACATTCAGTACCATCATGATTGATTTAGGACTCCAACCTCACTTTGCTTCTAGCTCCCAATATTGTTTGATTTCCCTGAGAAAATCAATTGTCAAAAGCTGACGCACCAGCATTGAATCTTATTCATTGCCTATCAACCTGAAAGTGTCATGTTTATGCCTACTTTTTGTATCCTGTCCATTAACCAATCCTTCATCCATGCTGACATATTACCCCCATGAGCATTAGTTTACTTATTGTCTTTTGTGTTGTACCTTGTCAAGTAACTTTTTTGAAATCCACCTTACAAGTTACATTCTCAAAAAAATTGCAATAATTTTATCTCACAAGATTTCCCTTTAGTAAAGCCAAGAGTGGCTTTGCCATTCAGAATAGGATCTTGAAGGCACTGCCAGAATCTCCAATTGCATAAAGGACAGGCTCATGACACCTCCAGCTCAACCACACTCAATATGCCAGACCCATCAGTGCTTATGCCCTGACCCTTAATTTAGATGAAGATGTTGAGGAAAATTTCTATTCTAACATGCAAACACAGAAGACATGAACTACTCAGCTCCTCGAGCTTGCTTCACCATTCAACGCGATCATGGCTGATCTCCAATTTAGTACCCTGCTCCTGCTACCTTCCCACAACCTCTGATCCCTTTAGCCCTAAGAACGATATAAACTCGTTCTTGGAAACATTCAATGGTTTGGCTCAACTGCTTTCTGTGGCTAAGGATTCCACAGGCAAAGGATTCTACCTCTGGGCGAAGAAATTTCTTATCTCAGTCTTAAATGGCCTATCCAATATCTTTTGACTGTGACCCCTGGCTCTGGACTTCCCAGTCATTGGGAACATCCTTCCTGCATTTACCCTGTCTAGTCCTGTTAGAATTTTTTAGATTTCTACAGGATCCCTTTTAATTCTTCTGAACGCCAGTGAAAACAGCTCTAACCAAACCTGTCTCTCTTCATATGTCAGTTCTGGCTTTCCAGGAATCAATCTGGAAAAACTTTGTTGCACTCCCTCCACAGCCATGCTATCTTTCTTCAGATAAGAAGGCCAAAACTGCACCCAATACCCCAGGTGTGATCTCATCAAAGTTGTGTACAATTACAGCAAGATATTCCTGCTCCTATACTCAAATCCTGTCGCTACGAAGGCCAACATACCTTTTGCCTTCTTCACTGCCGGCTGCATCTGTAGGCTTATTTTCAGCAACTGGTGTATAAAGATACCTAGATATCATTCAACTTCCCCATTTCCCAATCTATTCCCATTCAGATAATAATTTGCTTTCCTGTTTTCACCAGCAAAATGGGTAACCTCACATTATTTCACATTGTACTGCATCTGCTATGAATTTGCCCAGTGACTCAACTTGTCCAAATCACATTGAAGCATCTCTGCATCTTGTTTTCATTGCTCACCCTCCCAATAGCTTTGGTGCTGCCTGCAATTGCAATTACTTCACTCATCCACATCATTAATATATATTGTGAATAGCTGGGGTACAAGCATTGATCCCTGTGGGACCACAATAGTCACTGCTTGCCGTTATATAGTGACCCATTGTCATGGCATAGGGATAACAAATCAGTTCAAATCAGACGCCCTAATTCTGGATTTATCAACACAGCCAAATTAAAATATTTAGTAACCTTCAAAATTGCCCAATTGTTTTTAACCAGACTTTATGAATAACAGATATCAGATACCAAGTTTATAGCTTAAACCAAAATGAATAATTTACTATTAATATTGCAACATTAGCAGAGCAAAACTAAATAACAATGGAACATAATTATTGTCCAATCTTCGATCATAGGCCCACTCTCTCACACAAACAGACAAGAGTTCAGGGATAAATTAAAAAGAAAACAGAAGTGTTGTAACTGGCCAGTTCATTTAAGCAGTTTTGGACAATAGTAGCTGAACCTTCACGGAACCCTTGCATAATGAGTCGTTCATAGGCATGTATGGCTGTACATCTTGCTTGACTTCTGAAGTCACTGGTGAACGCAAACAGCTTCTGCAGACCCTGGAGACTTTTACTTACGTCTTACCAACTGGGTTCTTTCCTCAGAATTTTCAATAGTTACATAATTGGATATAAAAACTTAACTAGACAGCAATCATACTCTGTCCAGCAGCTTTCACAACCATTATGCCTTGCACCCAATAAAAGGTCAAACCAGTTCAATCTTTGGTTCCAGTTTTTATCAACATTCTCTTTGTTTGACTGGCTAGCACCGGGCTCTCTTTGATTGCCCCTTTTAACATTCAAGCAATGGCCAATCCTTGAGAATAACACATCTCAGGTTAGAATGTCTGCAGTGCTCGGAGATGATAAATCAACCTGCAATCAACATTCCGGGCCAGGTCCGATAAAAAAAATTAGTTTGTTTGTTCTTTCCTTTTTTCTAAGGCAAACTGCTGCTCAAATCCTAATGTTCGACTCTTTCAGCTCACAGCTCCAGACTACAAATGAGAAAAAGAAGTTCCCAACACCATTTATTCTTTGTCTTTGTTTTCTGTCTGCTGGCCAGTTCTGGTCAAGGTGATGGTGAGGTAGGATGCTCCAATGGAGCTCCTCCACTCCTTCTGTTTTTTTAATTCTCCCTTTGATCTCTTGGTGGATCTCAGCCTGGTCCCCCGGTGGCACCCGGCCTGGACTTTTGGTGGCTCGTGGCGGCTCCCAGCCTGGTCTCTTGGTGGCTCGTGGCGGGTCCCAACCTGGTCTTGTGGTGGTCGTGGAGGCTCTCAGCCTGGTGTCTCGGCGGCTCTCGGCCTGATGTCCTGACTCGGTGGTGAGTGGATCCTGCCTGGGCATGTTCCCGAGGCACCAGGGGAGATCGGAGAGGCAGCAGTTTCGGCAACAGCAATGGCAGCAGCGCTGTCAAGAACAGACAGCAGAGCTGATAAACAGAGGACTCACCAAAGACTGTTGAACTTTTAACTTATTTCTTCATTTTCCTACTTTAAACTACAGAAGGCTTTAATGTAAACTATTACCTATTCCTTTATTTTTCTACTATTCTATGAAGTAATGCTTAATTTTATGACTCTCGTTTCTCTTACAACTTTGTACCCAAGCTTTTTTTGCACATACGTACCTTGGTACCTAGGATGGCGCCATGTGTGGTGACATTACATACTTTTCACTGTACTCCTGTACTTCTGTACTTGAGTACATGTGACAATAAAATCTTAAATCTAAAAAAAACTTCTTTATCCATGTCAGCATGCTACCGCAATCCTGCAT